CTATATAGGTGACTAACTGAGGCTGTAGCACTGAAATTTTAATGCAATCACAGCTGTGTGTTTGTAGAGTTTTTTTTTTACCATGGCTTTCATCTGTAATTCGTGGACATGTTAATGTTAAGCATTAAAAAACAAGCGAGACAAGAAGCACTCAAAACTAAATTAAAGCACATATTTTAGGATACAGCATAGATGAAAGAATGATAATCCCACACTTTGGATTTCTTGCCCGACATGTTATTAACTAGCCTGTGGAATAACTACAGGTACCAGCCCTGGAAATTAACATGACTCCTGTCTGACTGCTGAGCGTGGCCACTTCCTGTGTCTGTCCTTTCCGATTAAATTCCCACATGGTCCAGTTATATAGGTGTTGATATATTTTGACAATTAACTTGTTTTGAGCAATGAAATCTTGCCGACTAATGACCTTTCTGGTCGACTAACGTTTGGTTGACTATAAAGGGGCAGCCTTAACAATTCATCCACTGGTTGTTGAAATATTTCCAGAGAGCCACTAGCATGACTAAAAATTACAACCATGAAGAAGATGGAATCACAGGCAATAATAAATGTTTGACTTTGATGTATCTGTCAGTGCTGCAGTAATCCTGCTGCTGCTTTTGTATTTTCAATCCCATCCAGAGTACAACTGGAGTTCTCTGCCTCCATTACAGCTTTTAAAACTATTTATATTTTCTCTTTAACCTCCTTACACTAATAAAACATTAATGTGAGATATGAAATCCACTTTAGCCACATCACTGTAACATAACAAAAGATAAAGATGTGTTTTTAGGTTTTATGTTGCTGTTTAAAACAAGACAGTCCGGTTTTGTGATGAATAAAGATCCATCAGAGACTGAATGTAAATAATTTAGAAAAGCAGTGGTGGGTCTCTAATGCTGTGTGTGTGTGTGTGTGTGTGTGTGTGTGTAATTTGGCTGTAAACAGTGTGCTCTTTGATGGAGGAATCTAAAAATGAGACTAATACCAAAGTCTACTGTAGCTGGAATGCAAATTGATTAGTGGTGAGGTTGAACGCTTCCAGGAAAACAACAGTGTCACAGTGTCTGAAGTGAAAGCGAGGGTAAATCAGGACAAACGCAGCTGCCAAAACACTTTTAGAATCTATATCTTCATCACCTTCATCTCTTCATGCGCCGCTTCAGGTAGTTTCCCATCTTTTTTTCCTTCCTTCCTTCCTTCCTTCCTTCCTTCCTGTAATTTATGAAGTCAAATCTGGCTGTGAAATGCTGCAGTACTCAGGTAGTTTTAGAGTCTGATTTGTGCCCTCCAAAAGTCAAAATACTTGGAAATGACAGCATCAAATAAGCAACATAAAAGCAGATTAGTGTTGTTTTTTCATCTGTATCATATATGAATAACAGTGGTTCATTTAATTACCTAATTCGGTTCCCTTTAAGGTGTCAGCTGTGATGGTGCTCGACATAAAGTCACTGATATTTAGCCCTTTGCTTGGTATCACAATATTACCGACCTTTTCCTGAGAGAGCCTAAAGCAGACGACACAATAGCCTTTACTTGGGCCAAGAGCTCTCAACCGGCGGATCAAGCACCTCATGTACTCGAAATGGTTGCCAGGTTATTGTTGCCCCTAGTTATAGAGGTGGACGGGGGTGTGTGAGATACTTCCTGAAACAAGAGTTACAGTAGTTCTACCAATCAGATAAATATATCACCGCACCAGTGTCAACCTCTCAGGACAGAAAACTCAGAGTTTGGTTCTTCCCCTTTTGTTTTCTCATTCTGTTTCTCTCTCTCGCACACATGCTGTCTGACTTTTCTTTTTTTAAACCCTCTCATGACATTTGCATTGCACATGCTTTCCTGTTAAATGCAAATCAACTGTGTTCACTGTCTCTGTCTGTGCTCTGGCTCCAACAGGTGTCACAGGACCAGGCAGCTGCAGCAAGGTAAGACTCCGTCCTGCTCTACTGCAGTAAATTGTGATTTTATCTCTGTGTGTAGAGGCAGAGCTGCAGTGTAATGTGTTATGTGTTTGTGTGTCTTTACTGTGTTTCGAACTGGCTTGTTGGAAATGTTGTTTTTTTTAAGAGGACTTCCACTTTTTTCAGGCTTGCTGATGTAAAGATAAAGAGCAATGTGACATAGTGGTTTGGGCAGAAGTGGAAAATAACTTAATTCTGAAGCGCTTGTACTTTATTGTACTTTGTATTTCCATTTTATGCTACCTTATAGTTTTATACCTCTGCGGTTCAAAGGTGAATAATATACCCCCCCAGTCCTCCTGACATTCCCAGACATTTTAATGTGCAGTATTTATCAAGTTATAACTTCTGCTATGAACACTTTATATTATTACAACTATGTTTTATGATGTTGTCATTCATTACATAGTATACTAAATAATTATATGCTAACAACTACATTATAGTGTGTTATAACCTGTTAATTAAAAGTTTATGCACAGCTTATAAATGCTAAATAGAGGTACTTAAAGTGTTGTCCTTCTCAGATTAAGATTTTACATAAAACACCATGTACACTTACATATGATAAGCCTATAAAATACGTTAGATCTAATACAATATGAATAAATAAGATATAACCACTTGTTCCAAACGTTTTTGCTCCGTACAAAAGAGGCAATTACTACTTGGAGCAGCTTAAAATGAAAACTGGATTGAAACTGGAAGCTTTGACGTGACTGCTGGGCAGTGATTAGATTAAATAAAATTAAAAAACAAAAGCTTTATCCAGTGTTATACAGTATATGACACCAGTACAAACTGAATCTCAGGAACAAGGCAGGATGGCGACTGCACTTTTGTTTTGGAGAAACCAAAAAAAAGACAAGTTTGATGAATTCTCAAGTAAAGAGGAAAGCATGAAACACAAAAGTATAGTTTACATTTTTACTACCTTGTCATTTTCAAGTGCTTTCATCATTTTAAGTGTTAATTGTAAAGAGAAATGTTATTTCATTACGGAGAAATTTGCCTTCAGACTTCTCATAGTTAACATTTTGAGGCTTACAAAGTAAAAGTGATCTGATATTTAACAATAAAGCAAAAATGATAGAAGTCCCCCAAAATTTGTACAGATTTATGTATCAGAACTTTGATTTTTCTTCTTTACTTTCTCACAATCTCTCAGATTTATTTGTGACCTTCTTGTGAACCACTGGACTAAACTGCTTAACTATAAGTTCAAACTATTCACACTTGAATAACCCAGTACCATGTAGTAACAAAATGTTTCAACTCAAACGATACCTACATTCAATCCTGTCCCAACCCACCGCCAAATCAGCAAACTTTCTGTTGCTGCCGTCTTCAGAGCTGCTCTCCTCTTGGCAAACGGTCAGTTTAACCTCTGCCCAACTATCACAAGCTGAAACAGCAGTAGTAGCCAACATCCAACACACTCAGTGGGTAGAGCTGGCATCTCATGTACAAAGGCAGTGTCCTTGCCGCAGCGGTCGTGGATTTGTTACAGCCTGCAACCCTTTGCTGCGTGTCGTCCCCTCTTTCTCTTTCCCCCGTCAATTAAAGGCAAAAAACCCAGAAAAAAATATTTTAAATAAACAACATTCCAGCAAACACCAAAATGGCTCAACTCAGCTAGCAAACCCATTAATAACTGCTCTGCAGTGTTAGCCATGTGATGCTAATAGATAGCCCTGTCACTGTGTGTGGGCATACTTTACCAACTGTCCCTGGCACAGAGCTCAAACACCAACAGCAGCAGCTACAACCCATATAATCTGTGTTGTGGTGAGGTCTAGTGAGGTGTATTGACAGAATTGGCAGTTCAGGGTGCCAAGATGACACCCAACCTTCGAAAGTATGCATGCATTATACGCTACTCCATTCACATCATGGGTATCCACTGAAATACTCTGTTGGTACATTTAGGGCTACTGGTATTGGTACTGGTATCGTAATTCGGTAAATTATACCCAGCCCTAACCTCAACCAGCTGCAACAGTAAAATGCTGTTTACATGTATGCAGTCATGTGTCAGTATTAATAGTCTAATAATGCAATTTATGATAGTATATCAGTCACTAGGGCCATTTTTCTTCAGAGTCCTGGTACTTTAAACTGAAAACTTTGACGCCACTGGCTTTGGCTATTTTAAGAAGATCTTCACTCGAGTCGAACTAACCAAGAGGAACATCTGATTTTCTTTTTTTTTGCACAAATTGCTCCCATGATAAACTTGTTTCCTTTTCTTACTTAAGATTTTCAGCTCACGTTAATTCAAACTGTGATGCTGTAATTCGCTGTGAACATCAGCTGGGTTCCTCCAAACAATGTGACTCTGTGTGCTGTGCTCTTTCTTTCCTCCCACAAACTTCGCCGCAGTTGATCGCAGCACTTAAAACCGAATCTCCCACCACTACGAAGCAGCACAAATGGTGCAAGGTTTGACATTGCAGTTTACCAAACAGTAATGAACTTCAAGAGCTCGGAAGTGGACGCGTGGATTCCTCTTAGGCTCCAGAGTAAACACAGATCGGACGGACACAATCTATCTATCTATCTGTCTATCTCTCACAAACACGCCCCAACATTCAACGACAACACAAAACAGTTTCCTTCTACTCCCACTTTGTGATTAGAGAGGAAAACAAACCCTGCAGAAAAAAATGCATAGTTCTGTAACTTTCCTTAGATTTAAGTGAGGGATGATCCTTGCAGCAGCAGCCTGAGAACACACACACACACACACACACACACGCACTCCACAGCAGCCCAAAGAGGCATACAGAGCCCTTCTCCTTAAATGGTCAAAGCTCCCAGGAGTGAAAGAGAGGCTGCTGCTGAAAAAAGACAGGGAACAGAGGGGACGGGAGAAGGAAGGAGAAGCCCCGAGGATAGAGGAGATTTCTGAGGCAAGGGCTGAGAGTGACAGTTTGACTGTGGGAAGTCGGTGTGAGTTGGAGAGATCAGCCGGAGTGCAGCGCTAGTGGTGGACTCAGGTAACGTGCGTGCTCTCTGTGGACAGGTTCAGATGATCGGGTGTGTGGAGCTGTGGGGTCTTAGTGGGTGATGGTTTTAAGTGGAGATGCAGTTTCAACGGCACCAGCCTACTGTCAGCGTCTCTGTGTCAGACACTGTGTGATTTTGGACTTTTTGACAGTCTGACTTGTGGCAGCTGGGGTGAGTTTACATAATCTGTCTGGAAGTGAAACTCTGTGTCATCTTTCCTTCTTTATGTGTACGCTTGTGCTTTTTTTTTAATGTCAGTGGATTTATCAACTTCCCCACCTGACCGTACATCTCTCTCTGCACCTATTTTTTCTGTCTTTCGCACACTTCCTCTCTCCCATTATCTCATATTGTGGCTCTGCAGCAACCACTTCCTCTGCTGGCCCTGTACTCCGGGCTTCACACAACCAAATTTTAAACAAATCTGGCAAGAGGGAGTGGGCTTATGTAACGGAGGAGGGGAGGAGGGTGCCGGTCCCCTCGTCTCCCTCTGAGAGAAGAGACAGCTAGGCCTGTCAGCCCTGAGAAGTTAATTCCGACTCTGATTATTCACAAAGACAAATACATTGTATTTTAGAGGATGGGTGTCTTCTTTAAGAGCAAGGTTGTCCTTGAGAAGTTGTTGTGCAGGGGCTGTCTGTGCTCAGACTTGTATGTACTGTCCTGTTCCCCCTGCAGGAAATAACCTGAGTGATTCAATTACTCTGCAATATTTATCTCAGTCTCATGGTCTGCTGGGAAAACAGTCTGCGCCGTCAAGCCTCCTGCAGTGCAGGATGGCATCTTTGTTTGGGCTGAGTCAGGATTCTGTCCTCAGAAGACACTTAAACTTGTTGAGCTGCATTTGAAAGCTTGTTTTGTTGCTTAGAAAGAAGTTTTTCCTAGAAATGGGCCAAAACAGACATGCTGATAGAAACATAGATAGAATCTGTTAAACTGTCAGTAATTACTTTGTTGTTTTTCCTTCTGTGTTTAATTATTCATCTCCGTATTTGGCTGTGGAAAAAGCAGAATACTGATGAAAGAATAAAATAAGTGGTTATATAAAAATACATTAAGAGTCATACGTGCTGTCAGTCAGTCACGACAAACGCAGGTGGTTGTTACCAAAGCCGTTCGGAACTCCAGGGGCGATTAGATAATCACGTTAGAAATATTTGGTGACTCACTCTCATATTCATATATGCAGTTGAACCTCAAAGCTGACCTTTTTTGCTCTGATTTGATCCAGCGGCAACATCTGAGGCTGAAAAATGAAGCCAGTGCTCAAGTGCCAAAAACTGCAGTTCATCTAATGGCCACTTGAGGCAGACTCCAAAACAGAGTTAATCCCCATAGACCCCCCTCCTGTTAAAATACCCGACTTTACAGCAGAAATAAGTTTGTTAACAGCCTGGTTTAAGATCAGGTAGCTTGAGTGACAGGCTGTCTGTACGGCCTCACCTCGGGCTTTCAGTCAGATCCACCCCTCACTCCTCCACAGCTCCACCCACTCACCACTATGGCCCCAAAAGAACATGATTGCAATGGCCAAACTCAAGGCTTTAAAATGGCACTCCGCAATCAAATGTTTGACGCCACTGTAGCCATGTTTTTTTATACAGTCTGTCCATCAGAAGAAACAGACTGAGAAGACAGTTCATATTTTTAGGCAGGCCTGCTGTCAGGAGGGGGTCAAAGGGTACAGATGACGCCGGCCCAAGGCCCAGCGGGGCCTGTATAAAGGTCTATGAACCTTAAATGGGGTCAAGTACACAGTTTGCTTACTGACTTTTATAACTGACAGTACAAGCTACATGTATTTTACATGATAAAGACATTGTTATTATTTTAAACACAGCAATTAAACCCGCTGAAGTGGGCTCAGTTTTAAAGTTGGAGTGTAGACACCGATATCATCTGAAACTAGACAACCTAAGGCATCCATCTATTTCTACATACTGGGGGTCCCTAAACAATGTTGGAATAGTGTAAATTAACACATGAAGGTGCTGGAGTGTGTTTGGATAAGGGGACCAATTCAGAAAATGTCCCCCTATTCATAATTCCTAATAGCTGGCCTGCTTTCAGGTATGAGAATCAGATGAAATAAGTTCTAAAGTGTTAAAAAATGTCTGCAACTGCAGGCTGAGAAAGAGTGTTGATTTTAATCCTGTATGGCAGTATTCTTGTACTCAGGAAATATCCTCGCAGCTCACTGAGAGACAGTTAAACAACCCATTTCCTCCCCAGTGACTCACAGCCTTTCTGTCCCTATATGTTCCCAAGAACTTGTCATGTTTGTGATGACACTGAACAGCGCGCTGCATATTCTGGCCCTGAATTCACAGAGGATTTGTCCTTGCGTAAAGTGCATGCCATACCTCTGAAATAACCAATAATTCATCACACCTTTCACTAGCCTACGTGCCTTAGTCATCATCTGCAGCGGCAGTAAAAACACAGCCACATCTGGACTGGTCATGCATATGTAAATCTTTCTATTTTGGGTGAGACCAAACAAATGGGTGGACATTAGCATCCTGTACACTAACCTGTCACAACAGTTTGTACACTCTCTGTGTGCAATGTGCTCCTCCAAAGGGTTAAATCTGCTCTGTACTGAGCTTTGCATAAATTTGTTACTAAAAAGGGAAGAGCTGCGAGTTCAAACAATGGTTCAAACAAGTTGCACACATAATATTTAACTTAATTAGCTCATGTTTCTCTTCAGTTTAGTCGGCCAGGTAACTGCTGCAGCTGTGATGGAAAACATCAGTTGCAGTGACGGAGACAAAGACAAAAGCAAAACCAACAAAAAATTTTTCTTTTCATTTTTAAACTACTGATTAGACAAAACAAGAAATCTGCAAATGTAATTTTGCACTAGGGATGTGCGACAGTATCGGCCGATATCAGCTTTAAACTGAACTATCAGAATCGGCCAACACGCTTTTTCTTATCTTGCACAGAAGAGGCTCGATGATCACTAAAATTAGGAAGGGAAAAAAGTGGATATATCGATATCAGTATTTCTTATCAGTCAAATAAGTTGTTAAATATCGGCATATCAGCAAAAAATCCAATATCGTGCATTCCTATTTTGAACTATGGGACACTAAACAATGATGGATTTTCAAGAATTATTTTCTCATGAGATGAAATTATTTATCAAGAAGTAAAAATACCTTTTAGTTGCACCACTATTATCAAAATAATAAAAAATAAGTGCAGCATGGCATAGGATTTTTTTTTATATGGGAGAGATCTGAACACACACTCTTGAAAATAGTCCACTGGTTCAACTTAAAAAATTTGGGTAACAATTTGCATGTGTCTTTTTAGTAGTTCCAACTCTGGCATTATTGAATGAGTCTTTTATAATCTGACAAACTCAATTAGTTCAGCACAACCAACATGATTTGCTTCGACCGTGAAAAACCAACTTAATATTTATCCAAAAGTTGTGTTGATATTTAGTGTTCAAACTATTATATTTAAGATATTCTAACTCATATTGGCAGTATGGTGGTGCAGTGGTTAGCATTGTTGCCTCAAAGCAAGAGGGTTCCCTGTTCGAATCCAGGGTGGGGGGTACGTACATCAGGGTAGTCCTTTCATGCGAAGTCTGCATGTTCTCCCCATGTTAGCATGGGTGTTCCCTGGCTTCCTCCCACAGTCCAAAGACATGCAGGTTAATTGGTGAATTGCCCGTAGGTGTGAATGTGAGCGTGAATGGTTGTCTGTTTCTATGTGTCAGCCCTGCGATAGTCTGGTGACCTGTCCAGGGTGTAGCCCGCCTCTCACCCAGTGTCAGCTGGGATAGGCTCCCATATATGAAGTGTCCGCTATCCTTGAACATTCCCAGCCTCGATCGTAGGAGCAAGATACCTTTTTGGTCCAGTTTCCTCAGTTGCAGTGATTGATGAGTTGTTTTCTCCTTGAAGCAGCATGCTGCATCAGCTTGTTTACTGCTTTCCTCAGTCTGTGGTCTCTGTTATTATACTGACATCTGACATCTCTTATTCCACCTTTATAAATTAAGTTTTATGAATTCACATTGTTGATTACCTTTAAGTAAAAAAAACATTTAGTGTAGAGTATTTCTCCCCTCTGTTATCTTCCATGCCTTTTCCACACAGCATGTTCTCATACAAGCCCCTCTGTTTGCTTTACACCGTCCCTGAGGAGCTCACTGCCTCACTCAGCCTGTGAAAGCAAGTTACACTGAATGCAGCAGAGCTTTATAATAACCCAGTACATCCCTGTGAGTGTGTTACTGGTTAAAACGATAACTGATTAAAGTCACTGTGTGGAAATACAAACATACCTAACTTCAGGCTCAGGAATGATTAGTATTTATTTGCATTTTCGATCCCTGGTGTTGTAAAGCAGAGAACTGAGTGCTGCTGTTTTTCTCTGTTGCTCCGCTGAGCATCACTCAGATTAAAATGATAAAACTGCTGCTTGTTACTTCTTGAGTTTGGGAGAATCTAATCAGTGTTTCACCAGCCTTAGTGCATCTTTTTTCTCAACCCAGTGAAGTAAACATATTGACAAACAAACAGGTGCCCTGCGGTGTTTTCTTCAATTCAGTATTTCTCACCAAATGTTTGCAAAACTGTTTGTTCTTTTGTGTAGTACCACCATCTATAGTTCAGCTGAACAGCCTGAATCCAACAACAGGATGTGGATTGTGTATGACCTGTCTCGTGCACATGCACAAAACAAGGATCCACTCATACAAACAAAGCTCACCGGCGCTACTGGTGGTCAAAAACTCCACGTCTTCATTTGAATATTCACAGTTTTCGAGGCGTAAATGAAACAAAAATAGATTTCTTCTTCTTAAAAGTATTTAGTGAACTTCCACTAAGGAGAGTGCACCCACTGTGCCTTATTGATAGCATGGCTGATTAAATGTTTCATGAGATTTTTCCACTGTAACATTTAATGTTTACCTTATAATCTCACTGGAAATGAATGTACTCTTGTGAGAGTTTTGTTTCAATTGCCTGTTGGAGAAATTAGCTAAAGCTGCCGTTCCAAGGAAACAGAGAATTAAGCTATTTTGGGATTTATTTATAGTGTGACGGTTTTGTTAGTGTGTCTTTTTTTAGCTGTGGTTAACCAGAAAAGACTTTCTCCAGAATATCACCATTCCTGTGAAATTCAGGAGAAGATTTTCCCCCAACATCTACTCTATAATTAATGCACATTGTGTCTAATCATGCATATAACATACATGTGTGTGTCTTCATGTGTGCATGATCTTGCAGCTCCAGGAAGAGGAGGAACACTTCCTGCAGGGATCTCCTCTTGAGCAAAGTGACCATAACTCCGAGGATTCCCGCGCTGCCCCCTGCGCCGCTGCTGAGAGGCCTTTTATTTTCCCCCACACCCGCTCACGCCCCCCACTTCTCCCCGCCATGCCCACACTGCCTGAGGAAGAAGAGGACTCCCCCGAGGACATGGACAGTTCCTCCAGCTCTCCCAGTACAGTGAGTGTCACTTTTTGTAGCACACACTCTGTGGAAAAAGCATGTGAGGCCATAAAATCTGACGCTGAATAATCCATTTGGCTCAGGTGAGGAAATTCTATCAATGTTGCTACTGAAGTCTGGTTTCAAAAGAGGTCTCATCTTCGCCTTCAGAATGCTGCTCTCAGTTTAGGAGTAGAAGCATTCAATTTTTTCTTGTTTTTACTCTGGTTACAAATGTACCCTGTCATTATCAGACTCAGGCTGTGCTGTGCAGAGAGGTCACAAACGATCACAACAGCTACAAATTCTTGATACCACATTGATATATATTTTCTTTTTGGCTCTGTACTTTATTTTTTGTACTTTCCCATGTGTAATTCCACTGATTCCTGGATATTTTATGAGTCTTTGTAGGCCTCTGTCTTTGATAGTAAATCATCCATGTTAAAGCCACTGCTGAAGTCTTAAAAAAGATGTGTGTCTGGTGAATATCACGTCTCTATTAATGTCAGCTTTTCGCCCTTTGAGGCAAATTTGTGGTTTTGGGCTATGAAAATAAAAATAAACTTGACTTTAAACTTAACTGTTCATCAGATAATAGGATCTGGGAACTTTGGCAACCCCAGCAGAAACAAGTATTCCTGTCAAATTTAACGGATCAATTCAACCAAAATACTTTCTTAAAATAAGTTTTTCTCTGACCCCAGTGCAGATAGTTTGTGTTTTAAAAGCCCAGTGTGTGAGATTTAAGGGGATTTAATGGCATCTAGTGGTGAGGATTGCAGATTGCAACCAGCTGAAACTTCTCTGTCTTAGAAACCCTTCAGTGTTCATTGTTCAGGAGGTTTTTACCGTGAGCCGAATTATCCGCTGAGGTCTCTTTCTCTCCAAAACAAACAGACCAGTTGATTAAAGTTGGTAAAAACACTGAATAAAGCAGTTTCATGTTATAAATCAATGTTTTTCCAATGCTGTTTGGCACATTGGAGATGGGCTGCTAGCCTAGTGCCTGCAAATGTGTGCTCACCTTTTTTTCTCTGAGAATTTATGATCCAAATGTTCAGGAGGTTTTTATCAGGAGCGGAATTATTGGCAGAGGTCTCTTCCTCTCCAAAACAAACGGCTGCAGTGATTAAAACTGATGAAAACACAGAATACAACAGTTTCATGTTAAAAAAGGAGAAAACAAATATGTGTTTTTGTGAAGGGGCTCATATCGGAGGGTTGCTAATTACTGTGTCAAATGAGCAAACGAAAATGGCCCTATCTAGAGCCAGTGTTTGGTCCGTTCTGAACTCTGAATCTCAGTAGACAAGGATCTGCCCCTTACGTAGATAAAAAAAACGGCTTATTGAAAGGTAACAAAAACACAACAAATCTTATTTTCAGGTGATTATACACTAAAGAAAACATACTTATTATAATATATTTTTTCCAATATATCCCCCTAAATCCTACACACTGGACCTTTAAAGGAGCACTTCACCCAAATTAAATTTAAAAAAAAAATGGTTTTCTCAAACTTGCCCCCAGTGCAGATAGTTTGAGTTTTAACTTAAGCTTTGTTACTGAAACTATCTGCAAGTTAATGCAGGGGTTTTTTTCATATTCACCTCTGTTAGTCCTGCTGTCACCTCATCACAGTGGAGGTAAATACAATCTTGCGCTCCACAGAGCATTGAAAAAATTACATTTGTGAAACTTAACACCAGCGTATCTTTTTTAAGACAATGTCCTGATTACTTCATAATAAACAAAACTCATTGTCAATTTTTTTAGCCGTTATTTTCTATTAAAAGTGACCCTAGTGATGAGGACACTGTTTCTAGAAAGACATATTTCAGTTTTAGAGGCATTGAGCACCACAGATTCCTTTCATTCTCGCTGTACTGTGGAGGCAGATACCAGTAGTAGATACTTTTTCATCATGGCACAACAATGTGAAGAATATAATCTTTAAATGGGTCGGATTCAGAAGTTGATTCAGCAGCATCCTGCAGAGAGCAAATTGTTTAACAGTCAGAGAACATTGTCTTCCGCTGTAGTCGCTCATAAACACACAGGCTAAATAAGACATCTCTGCAGAATGTAATGAAGCCGTGTAATCAAATCTTCAGGGCAACACAATAAAAGTATCCACCTTTACTGCAGCACAGCCGTGGCCTTTCTGCAGCATTACCACCAGGAGGATTCCTTTTATTTGGCTTCTATTGCAAAGATAAGCTGAGAGGAGCTCTTAGGGAATTAGTCTTTGATCTCAGTCTGTGTTTACTTGCCTGCTTACCTTTTATGGTTGGACAGGGATTTTATGAAACAGGAATTGAACGACCTATAATTTGAGAAGATGTTTGAAACTGTGGGATTTTTAGAGGGGTGCTTCATCAATTTATTACATGAGGTTTACCCGCTTGATATTTAGCTTATGGAAATTCTTGTATGATGTGTTATGTGGCTCTGGACAGACGGCCTTCATTATGTGAGGTGTAGGATTTAGCTTCTGTAAAGCTTGAGACTCAGATGCGTCGGCCCCTGCTGCTTTGATTTTCACAGAATCTGTCTGTTGTGAGTCCCCCAACTTTATGGAAGCACAATTTTAAATCACTGCAGTGCCCCTAAACAGATTTATGACAACTGTCAAATTCAACATAATTTAACTGAGTGTAACTGATTTGTTGTTGTTCATTTCAAACACTGATCCTTAAAGGGACAGGTCACCCCAAAATCAAATATAGATATTTTTCCTCCTACCTGTAGCGCCATTTATCAATCGAGATTGTTTTGTTACACAGAAGAGAGCATGCATCTACTGCTAGCTAACCTAGCACCACTGAGCTAGGTTTGATGTTTTTAGGCTTTCTTTTTTCTGTCAATGAAATTGCGTGAGCAAGGGAAAAACTGCAAAAAAAAATGTTGCCTTTTTTTGTATAAGTCATTATTTATATTATTATTATTATTATTATTATTATATAAATTGCAGGCAGCTTGTCTTAGTGAGAATAAAACTGCAGTGTTTTGAGTCTGTGATTTATGCCACACAAATGTTAGCACTAACCATACATATTGATCTAACTGACATTGATTCTTTCAGCACTTGCAATAGATCTGGAGCCTCCGCTGTGGTGATTTGTCTTGTCTGGTGTCCATGTGTTTCAGCCATTTTCTGTGTGTGTTTTGTAGTAGTTTTGCGATGATTCTCGTTTTTTTTTTCCATCACAGCATTGCATGCAGCGCAAAATAGTTTACCCCTGCTTTAGTGCAGAACATCAAGGAAATAATTTGCACCTTCTTTACTAGTAAATTTTATTGAATGTGAGACGTTCGTGTTGCACATGCCAGCATCTTCACGGCCAGAAGGTGACTTTGATGACATAGACTTCTATGATTGATGAAATTCTCGGGAAATAACCAAATCTGAGGAAAAGTTGTAGTGATCGGACAAATTGCAAGTTTGCACAGAATTCATGGGGATTGATTGAATTTGCATTAATTGCTGCAAACACAACATCCCAGAGGGGCTCTCTTTTGAACCAAACCCATGGTTATATTTAGAGACATTTAGAGAAGTTTTGAAGTGTCTGTTGAATTTGTTGTTTTTTTGAGATGATCACAGTGGCAGACGCAAATCTTTCATGTATACACAATTGTGTGCAGAGTCCCTGCAGTTCAGGCTGTATTACCAGGTGGTGAGATTTGTTTGGGAACATGCTCCACCGTAGCACAATAAAAACTGCATCTTCTGGAGGAGTGTTTTTTGGGGAGGGGGGGGGGGGGGGGGGGGGGGGGAGGGGGGGGGGGGGTTGGTCAATATCTAGTTTTCATTCCTTTATTTTGTCTGTTAAAGGAGCATGTACTGGCAGAGATGGTATGTACTATCTGCCATGCTGTTCTACAGTAGCCCAGAACTGACAAACCAAACACTGGCTTGGTCCATGCTTGGCCTACTGGGGAAAATTTTTGGTTCTGCAACCTCACCACTAGATGGCACTAATCCTACACTCTAGACCTTTAATATTGTGCTAATATAATGCATGTTCCTAAACAATGCTGTGTCAGATCAAAGCAAAACATACTTTGACACGTTTGTATTGTTGTGTTTTTTGCACAGTCTGCACCAGGCGAGAGTCGAGCTGTTGTCATGACTGCCCCCACCATCGTCTACCCACAGCAGGCCACTATTGTTCAACAGGATGGACGCCCTCTGGAGCAGACCAGGTAATCGTCAGCCATCTCAAACACTGATAATAAATAGTTTTCTTTTTTTTTTTTCTTTTTTTTTTGGCAGTAAACAAGGCCAATGTGTCCCACTCATTACTGTTTCCTCTCTCAGGCCGCACAGTCCCAGAGCTCGCATGGCCAGAAACTCCTCGGGAGGAGCAATCACCACAGTTGGTGGGTAAACCCTGTATACACACACACACACACACACACACACACACGCATACACACACACTGCAGTTTTAATTATATCAAGATAACCACTGTGAGAGCTGTTTTGATGTTATCATCAGCAACATTTGCTTTAGTCCATAAAATTGAACTCACTGCTTGTTGAACTGTTTTTAAGTCGACATTTTTAATGTGAGTGAAAGATCTGTCTTTCCAAGAGTGAATAAAATCAAAGTAATGCTCCCATGCAGTGTAGTTACACCAGAAGCCTCACCGCATTTCGTCTAAGTTTGGTCATCTGTGTCCTGAGAGATGAATCTGTCGGTGTGTCCTCCCTCATGCCTGAAATGGTTCTGCTGCTGAGATTGCTTTTGATGTTTAGCTTGTTGCCCTTTTAGAGGAGAGGAGATAAAAAAACATCCCTGACTTGGCCGAACCTCATCACATGATTTATTGGCTCACATCCATCTGTGAATTATTTATTGGCAAGAGACTTAATACCGAGGAATCCCTCTTAAATATCTTTTTCTAATGAGTCCATTTTGAAAGCGCTTACAGACTTATAAGGGGACCTGTTACTTTTCTGGTTCATACTTGTATTTATGGTTTCTACTAGAACATGTTTACATGCTGTAATGGTCAAAAACACTTTATTTTCCTCATACTGTTTGTGCTGAAACACCTGTATTCACTCGCTGTCTGAGACGCTCTGTTTTACCACCTATCTCTATAAGGACACCCTCCCGAAAAAGCCCAGTGTGCTCTGATTGGTCAGTGTTTCAGGGTTTTTCCATATTTCAACATCTCTGCATCATCACTGCAGCCGAATAATGACTGTAACGTAACACTTTCTACCGTGAAAAATCACCAATAAAAGCTTCTAAACACAACCGAACATGTTCCAGCAGGAAAATGATACGAAATCAGGGAGAAATTGATGACATCAGCAATAAACATTACATTATTTTGGGATGTTAGCATGTAGCAGTGTACACTTCATAATATAAACACTTGCAGATGACTATATGACGAAATCCGGCACACTATGACATCATACTGTATCCAGAGTAGAAAAATCTATTTGAAACGGAGGGTTCAGAGCAGTAGGAAACCTGGGTTCTTTGCTTACAGGGATTACTTCTACATACAGTACAGGCCAAAAGTTTGGACACACCTTCTCATTCAATGCGTTTTCTTTATTTTCATGACTATTTACATTATAGATTCTCACTGAAGGCATCAAAACTATGAATGAACACATGTGGAGTAATGTACTTAACAAAAAAAGGTGAAATAACTGAAAACATGTTTTATATTCTAGTTTCTTCAAAATAGCCACCCTTTGCTCTGATTACTGCTTTGCACACTCTTGGCATTCTCTCAATGAGCTTCAAGAGGTAGTCACCTGAAATGGTTTTCCAACAGTCTTGAAGGAGTTCCCAGAGGTGTTTAGCACTTGTTGGCCCCTTTGCCTTCACTCTGCGGTCCAGCTCACCCCAAACCATCTCGGTTGGGTTCAGGTCCGGTGACTGTGGAGGCCAGGTCATCTGCCGCAGCACTCCATCACTCTCCTTCTTGGTCAAATAGCCCTTACACAGCCTGGAGGTGTGTTTGGGGTCATTGTCCTGTTGAAAAATAAATGATCGTCCAACTAAACGCAAACCGGATGGGATGGCATGTCGCTGCAGGATGCTGTGGTAGCCATGCTGGTTCAGTGTGCCTTCAATTTTGAATAAATCCCCAACAGTGTCACCAGCAAAACACCCCCACACCATCACACCTCCTACTCCATGCTTCACAGTGGGAACCAGGCATGTGGAATCCATCCGTTCACCTTTTCTGCGTCTCACAAAGACACGGCGGTTGGAACCAAAGATCTCAAATTTGGACTCATCAGACCAAAGCACAGATTTCCACTGGTCTAATGTCCATTCCTTGTGTTTCTTGGCCCAAACAAATCTCTTCTGCTTGTTGCCTCTCCTTAGCAGTGGTTTCCTAGCAGCTATTTGACCATGAAGGCCTGATTCGAGCAGTCTCCTCTTAACAGTTGTTCTAGAGATGGGTCTGCTGCTAGAACTCTGTGTGGCATTCATCTGGTCTCTGATCTGAGCTGCTGTTAACTTGCGATTTCTGAGGCTGGTGACTCGGATGAACTTATCCTCAGAAGCAGAGGTGACTCTTGGTCTTCCTTTCCTGGGTCAGTCCTCATGTGTGCCAGTTTGGTTGTAGCGCTTGATGGTTTTTGCGACTCCACTTGGGGACACATTTAAAGTTTTTGCAATTTTCCGGACTGACTGACCTTCATTTCTTAAAGTAATGATGGCCACTCGTTTTTCTTTAGTTAGCTGATTGGTTCTTGCCATAACATGAATTTTAACAGTTGTCCAATAGGGCTGTCGGCTGTGTATTAACCTGACTTCTGCACAACACAACTGATGGTCCCAACCCCATTGATAAAGCAAGAAATTCCACTAATTAACCCCGATAAGGCACACCTGTGAAGTGGAAACCATTTCAGGTGACTACCTCTTGAAGCTCATGGAGAGAATGCCAAGAGTGTGCAAAGCAGTAATCAGAGCAAAGGGTGGCTATTTTGAAGAAACTAGAATATAAAACATGTTTTCAGTTATTTCACCTTTTTTTGTTAAGTACATAACTCCACATGTGTTCATTCATAGTTTTGATGCCTTCAGTGAGAATCTACAATGTAAATAGTCATGAAAATAAAGAAAACGCATTGAATGAGAAGGTGTGTCCAAACTTTTGGCCTGTACTGTACATTTACCTCATTATTTAAAACTTTGGCTAGTTTAATGTGAGCATCCATAATTGTAAGACTAAGACACAAAATACAGAAACGCATAATAGGCCCCCTAACATCTTGTGCCCAAAATTTTCCTGTACAAAATGTGTATTTTTAAAGCTGTATTACCTGATGTTTGAACAGGCGAGCAAGCCGCCTCATTAACTTTGCTCTTTGTCTATAACTGCCTTTTGTTTTCTTTTAAGTTGGCATGTTAAAAACACAGATAAAATCAAGACAAATGTGCTTGTGCATGTGTGGATTCGTGTGTGTGTGTATTGTCTTTCTCAGACAGCACAGGTAATGTGATCGACCTGGTGAAAGATCAGCTGCCGGAGCTGCAGCTGTCTGAGGAGGATCGGCAGAAGAACCTGGAGCTGCTCCAACAGGCCAAAAAGGTCAGCGACCGGTTCCTGACACGCCGTGGTCGCCGCTCCCTCACTGATTCACCCACAGGTAGTGAATACACACACTCACACACACATATTTACTGTGCATAGATAGATCATTTCCGAAGCATGCGTTGATTGCTGTCTTGGTGAGTTTGATTTAATTTTCTATTTTTTTAGTTTGTTACCTTGACAAAGAGTTGACAGTCGCATTAAACTCAGTTTGTCCTGTGTTTAAATGTGTTTAATTCACTATATATATATATATTTTTTTCTATAAAGGTCTGTCTCCAATTCCAAGTCCGTCATCCTCGCCGTGTTCATCTAGAAGCAGCTCACTGACAGTAGCTCCTCAAACTGGTAATGTGCTATTTAAAATGACTATTTACTATTCATTAATAACTTTTCTACATTATTTTGCTGTTACTTTGTGATCATCACAGTTTGCAAGAATGTTTTTGTTGGTTGTTTTCTGTTCTTTCAGCTCCCACAGAGGCAGCCCATGTCAGCTCACAGCCAACTGGGCAGGTAAAGAAACTATAAACCACATTCACTCATTATGGCCTGACTTGTAATGCAGATATTTTTTGATGGACTCTCATTTTCCCCAGTTAAAATGGTAGTGTTAATGCTACTTCCCTTTGCTGTGTTTTAAAATGGTCTAAGATGTATTTATTAACACAAGAAAATTTGCCATGCTGTACTCTCTCATAGCATCTGGAGGTTCCTTCAGCGCGGGAAAAGCCTGACCTAACGACCCAGGATCAGGAGGTCAGATGAACAGATTCAGTCACTGTTTTTTTTTTTTTATTAACACAGATATGACAAAGTCAGTATTTGTCTAATGCATGCCAGATTGGAAGGTTTGTAGAGGAGGGGAAATGAGAACATTTATACAGACATTGATACTCCCCAGAGGATGAATCCCAATGACTTTGATCCCCTGCAATTGTAATTCACTACAGGAATGCTAAATGTATTACTAATAGTTATTATCTTGCCAACCTCAGGGTAACAGGCTGTTGGTGGACTGGAAGCCGTCTGAGAAGAGGAAAGTGTCCTCTGGGACTCTAACACCACGCTTTGCTGTTCAGAAGGAGAACTGTGATCCAGCTGTACCTAAGAGTCCTCCAGCAGGCAGTAAAGCGGACGAGGGATCTGGTCCAGGCCGAAACTCCAACCAGGCCCCGGCTACAGGGGTGGCCAAGCCCGTCCCCCGACCCCCTACTCAACAGGCCCCCTGTACAGCAGAGATCAAGACGATCGGGGCCTTTCCTCCACTTATGAGGGCTGTTTCCTGGGATGCTGTAGGCAGCCTTAATTCTAGAAACGGAGCACCGAGTTTCCCTCCTACACCCGAGGATACGTTCTCAGACAAACCCAGGGATGCTATCTTCAAGTCCTCAGGGTACAAGGACCTCCCCACCCAGCCGGGGGGTTTACAGACACTGTCTAAATTCAGAGAGGTAAAGCAGTAAACTACATGCTACTGTGTTTACTGCCTGCTTTTGTAGTCGGGGCCTTCCCTGGAATATGTTGTGTAAACACTTTGCTCCTGTGTGTGTGTGTGTGTGTGTGTGTGTGTGGGGGGGGGTTTACAGGAGCACAAGCTGATGCGGAACCAAAGCATTGTGGGATCCAAGCTACCAGACTTGAGTGAAGCTGCCGAACAGGAAAAAGGTAACAGTCCGTGTTTTCCCTCTTGTCCTTGTAAGACAAAGTACTTGGAGCGGTACATTCAGCAGTGTCGCCAAGGGTGTGTGCACTTCCTGAATCTCAGGGAAAATCTGTTCCAGTCAGAAAATGATAATGATCTAAACTGCTCTTGTTTTTTTCCCTCTGTGCCACCCGTTTACTGGCAACCTCACAACAGAGAAATACATGCTGTTTGCATTTCCCATCAGCAGATGGCATGATTGTTAAAGCGTGTGAGCCAAAGACCACCAGTGGAAGATGAAACGAGGAATTTGTTTTATGTATTTTGAGTGTTTTGGGGACCTGAGACTTGGATTTGAGTCACAAATAAATCAATAAAATTAGGACTTGAGACTATACTTAGACTTGACAGCCTAAAGATGCTCAAAGTTTGGCCCACAGTTCAATGACAGCCCTTAAGAAACATCTTTTGCAGGCCCTGAACGTGACATGAAATGCCTGCATTATATTGTAATCATATGCAGTTCATTTCAGTACTTTCACTTTTAATATCTTTATCAATCAATATCTTTAATCGTATCATTTTATACACTACTCAGCCACAGCTTCAAACCCTAACAAGCATCAAGTTAGGAATGACTACTTGTAGAAAGCTACAAGTAGCATGGCAACTCATGGCACCTCCTAAGTGCAGTGGGAATTGCGTTTTATTATCAGTGCAAATGCTGTTAGCTAAAGTTAGCAATTTCAGTGGAAAACTCAGCAGTTGTGTGTGAAAGTGAGAAGGAAAAGCCACCACAGAAAAATGCTGTATGTTTGAGGAGAAGAGGAGGTTTCAGGGAAAACATATAGACTCCTCCTGCGTCGGATCTCAGTGGGCAGATTAAGTGATCTGCCTCATCTGCAAACAGGTGAATTTGGTGCTCAAATCCTGTGAAAAATAATGAAGGTGTGACACAGGCGAGCTATGTAGAATAGGGCTGTCAACGAATATTCTAAATTCGAATTTAAATTCGAATTTGAAAAAAAAAAAATGGACCTTCGAATGTGAAAATTGATATTCGATTGTGGAGAGAAAAAAAAACACCACCGCAGCTGTCCTCTTTGCGAGTGGGCGTTGGCCTGGGCCACTGCACTGAAAGCAGTGGACAAGCGGTTCTGCTCCCAGCTGTTGTCTCTGTCACCCGGCTTGACACATCCACTCGCAGCTCGTGCAGAAAATAGACCAGAGCTGGCCACGGAGCTGTGCGGCGCTTCGAGGCTCTTCGCAGCGCTTCCGCGAGCGGTGTGGCCTGACGGGTCAGAGAGGGGGGGCGAGCGAGGGGTCCACGGTCATTTCTAACGTAATGTTATAGATAATTGTTTTATGTGTTTTAATGTGTAGGTATGTAAATGTTTTCAAAGACGTTTATGTTGAAATAAAAATACCTACAAGTAGTTATGTTTCCTTGTATTAATACATATACGAGTATGTTTCCTTGTATTAGTTTGCCCTCTTGTGGACATAATGCGAAAAAAAAAAAAAATTCGAATGGTTCGAACCTATGAGTTATTTTTAGAAGGAATATTCGGATGTCATTTTTGAGCAATTTTGACAGCCCTAATGTGGAAGCTTATGAAATTGCTAAGTGCAATAAGCAGTTCAGTGATTAAGAGTTTGTGCAGGACTGCTTGGTAAAAGTGGCTGACACCATGGGCTGTAGTTTCCCGGCACGGCGCAAGGTGGCGAACCCCGCGCAGAGCTAGTTTCGAGCAGCGCAACCCAAGGCGCGCTCAGTTTGTTAGTTGTTTGTTAGTTTGGCAGACCGAGGTTAATGTGTCAGGCACATTAACAATGCAATAAATACCCACAAAACCACTATTCAATGCAGCTGTCTGCAATCAGCACATAAATGTATCTCTATATCGACTGTCCCGTCACATCTGATGTCAGATCAAAGGGGATTGGCACCGTTTGGCACGTTTGGCACACGTAATGGAAACCCAACCTGATTTGATTAACACAGCTGCAAACTAATGAGTTCACACCACTCTCAGCCAACCACACACAGCCACAGCATCAGATAGGGAGTATATATTCAGCATCTGTCATCTTAGAAAAGTCAAAAGAAAAGAAACAGAGTGAGACTGCGAGAGAGAGAGAGAGAGCGCGCGCACGAGAGAAACGCAACATTGATTTACAATTGTGGTGACCTCCTCCCAGGCTACCTTTGCATCATCAACCCGTGGAGGTCTGCTCACAGTTCCGTATATTCGGACACTGCGAGCTTGGACCTCCCGGACCAAAACATCAGTTTCCTCCTGGGAGAAGTTTGGCCGTCTGACGCTGCCGCTCTCTTCCGCCATGGCGAATTGAGTAAACTCTCATTACGCCATCATGCGGCGCATTTAAGGGCGAGGAGAGGGGCTCATTTGATTGGTGTGATGTGTGTAAAACCCACTCCACGCCTTCTCTCCTCCCTCTTTCCGACTTGCGCAGGTAGGAGGGACGGAGGTGGGAAGGAAGAGTAGCTGCGCCAGCACGCACGGTGTGTCAAACTTGCAAAATCTGCCTGGCCACACCCAGTTGGCAAAGCGCAGGTGCGCTGCGTCTCCGCCTCGCCCAGTCTGCGAAACTAGAGACCCATATGTCATGACTCTGTGCATCCCTAAATGATATGCTGTCTCCCTGAATTCAGTTCAGTTCATTCATTTTCATTTATTTACTGTAACCGCATATCCTGTTAAAAGTCTCAGGGGGGCTGGAGCATATCCCAGCTGACATTGGGTGAGAGGCAGGGTACACCCTGGACAGCCCGCCAGACTATCACAGGGCTGACACTTAACACGCATTCAATTCAATTCAATGGAATTTTATTTATCCCGAAGGAAATTCTTGTGCCAGGGAATGCTTCAGATTATTGTAACACTAAGAACAGTAACTACAATTTAACCAGTGGGTTCCCCGGGTCAGGGTCAGTCACTGGGCCCAGTTTTACAAACAAAAGTAAAATAAATATCTGGCAAAATATACAAATATACAAGATAAGAAGTGTTTTCAAGGAGAGAAAGCAAAACCAGTGCCTACTAGAGTAACAATAGGAGTGAGATAAGTACTAGCATTACTAAAAGTGAAAGTGGTGCAAAAAGCAGACTGCGCATGATGATCAATGTTATATTGAATGTGATATAACAATGAGAGGTAGTATTGCACATGATTGAGGAAATTATATTGCATGATATTAAAAAGTAATATTGCACATGATGTTGGTTTAAAAACTTGACTCGACATCTGAGAAAGCCACAATGTTCAAGCCTCAGGGTTTGACCTTATAGGATCTGTTTATAGTACCTAACTAACCATCAGCACAGCTTTGAAGGAGACTGTACAAATGTGTAATTTTGATTCAAATTTTAAAAGCTTTGGAGACTTTAAAGTGAGACTATGTCACTTTTAAAAGGAAGAAATATCACCGTCTAGAAATATCACCGTCTTTCATCAAATGAAAAATTGAATTTCTTAGAAATAGAATGCAGTCTTGTTCAAATCAACACTTGGAGGTTTTGATGCTGCAGCCAAAAAAGGTCTGGTATGACCAGTAGCTTGTGATGACTAATGTTAACTGTGTTGCTGTGTACAGTAACTCACTACTCACCTTACTTGTGCCACTGTAACACTACATTTCAGTACATTTAAAAGTTACCTAGTCTACCTTTAAAGACATGTGGTTTAAAGTAGACTTGAACAGTACTTGACTTTAAATCTGTTTCAATGACTTCAGCCTTGACTCAAAACATCTTTGGAAAAAGACGTGGTATTTTCTTCAGGACTGATTCATGTAACAATGTATCTGCAGGTGCTCCATCTTCTCCAAACTCAGCCAGTAGTGAAGCAAAGGAGAAATCCGACGCCATGCCAAACATTTCAGATGTGATGCTGAGAAAACTCAAACTCCACCGAGGTCTACCAGGCTGGTGTGTAACAAACCATCTGCTGCTCATGTTAACTTTTACCTTTTGTCTTGTTTTTCCTGTCTAATCACTAAAAATAACCCTCCATACATCCAAATTGTACTACTGTATGTACATTACTCACCATACTAACAGATCCTCTTTCATTTCATTCCAGTGCTCCTCCACTCACTGAAAAAGAAGTTGAGGTTAGTATCTGATCTCATCTGTTGATTTTCAGTCATTTTTTTCTACTAAAAACTAAAGATACAATATCACAAAAACATCAAATTAATCCATTTCATAATGAAGCATTCAAAGTTCAGTGCCTTCCCATGCATGCTACAGCTCATTTTGTTTCCTGTGGTGCTCTGCTTGTGCTCGCCTGCTATTTAAAGGACCTGTTTGACAGTTTGGGAAATACACGTATTTGCTTTCATGTCGAGAGCTAGATGAAAAGATTAGTATCACTCTCATATCTGTACAGTAAACATGAAGCTGGAGTTAGCAGCCTGTTAGCTCAATCTCAGGAACTAATGATGTTAAGCCTCTGCTGCTCAAATGTACAACATTACTTGGACTACAAACAGAAACTAGAACATTTCCAATACCGAAATCTTGTCCTGTTGCTCACAGATCCTGCATACATATGCAAATGTCGGGGAAACTGTTAGCCTGGCTCTTCCTGAGAGTAATAAAATTTGCCTACCAGCAGCTTTAAAGAGCAAAAGTTAACATGTTATATCTTGTTTGTTTAATCCGTACACAAACAGTGTTGTATAAACACAATTTGCTATTTTATAGCTGGGTATGTGCCGGGCGATTTCTTGGCCTACTAACTTCCTCGAGTCCATGATTGTTGTTAGGCAACTGGTTTTTGTATAGAATATTCAAGTGAGATATAACATGTTAATTAGTGTGCTTTATAGATGCTGGTTGGTAGACTTTATTACCTTTGGACGGAGCTGGGTTAGCCACCTTTTTCCAGTCTTTAGGCTAAGCTAAGCTGTTAACTTCATGTTTATGCTGCGTTCAAGTGCAACAAGTCAAAAACCAAGATGTACTAAGTAAGATAACAATGCATTATGCTGTATTTTGTGCATACAAGCACTTAAGCAACGTATCAACAGATGCAAGTTGGACAGGACTGTGTGTATGACTGTTTTAGTGAGACACAATTGAGACAGAAGTGCTAATAAACTGTATCTTACTACAGTATTCACAACTGTTGGAGCAGCCATGTTGGATTTTGAGGACATGGTTGGTGAGGTTCCTCTGACTTTTCAAGTTGGAAATCTGACTTCAGGTGTGTTCCAGTTGAAATTTCTGACTGGGAACTCCTAAAATCCAGCTTCCCAACACAAATGGATCAAGCATTAGTGAGCAGACATGAGAGTGCTATCGGTTTTGTCATCTTCCTCTTGGCAAGAAAGCAGAAAAGCATATTTTACAAAATATTTCTTGAACAATTTAACTTTTGAAAAGTCACTTTGGTGCCGGCCATAATAGTAGTAAGAGCCAGTTTATTTACAAATACAGGTATTTACTCACAACTTGAACTGTTTTATGGCAAACTGTAATTTGCTTCATGCCCTGTTCTGCTTTCCAAACAATATATATTCATTTTAATAATCTCATGCTCATTTCTAACTGCTCCACAGTCAAAGTACTGTGTGCATGAGTCATCATACAATGGGTCATAAAATCGACTGCCAACAGTAATCTGTTTACTTTGAGCAGTGAACTGTGTTCAAACACTGTTTCAAACAGAGCAGTCAGATCCATTGTTCTACTCACTGCAAACATTTGCCACATGCGGCTCCATGTTTATAATAACCTGTTTTGGTACCAGAGTAGTTAATTACACCTTCATAAAAATTGTCTGCCTGAGCTTGGCGGTGTTCTGTCAACAGGAAAGTGTTTTTCTGTTCCTGATCAGACCGAAGAGACTCAGAGTGATTTCCTGTGGAGAAAAATGCAAACATTAGTGACGCTTTCGGGCTCGGGCTGCAGCCCCTCTCGCTGCTCCCTCAGGGACGCGTCTGGACCGGGACAACGAGAGGTCATATATTTCCTCTCAGCCGCGGCCCATGTATGTTGGAAAACTGTGCAGACTGGCTTTGATCAATGCAGCAAAACATCAAGAGGTCAAATGTTAGAATCACAGCTTGTTCCCAATGCTCTTCTCCAGGGCTGCTTGATTCTCCCTCACACGTCGTTAACTAATAAAAATGCATATTAGTGTCACGTAAACAACCGCACTGACTCTTACTTAGCCTGCATGTGTGCGTGTGCTGCACTGTGGGAGAGTTTCCTATGGATCCCTCTGATTTATCCCTCAGAGTTGGTGCGTTGCCATCAGCAGCAGCTCATCTGAGTTTAATGTGCTGTGTTAATGTGCCATTGTGAGAGTTATATTGCAGTAACTTCCTCCCCACAGAACGCATTCGTCCAGCTGTCACTGGCATTTCGTAACGACAACTACACTCTGGAGATGCGGCTCAAACAGGCGGAGAGGGAGAGGAACCTAACTGAGGAAGACACCGAGAAAGAACTAGAAGAGTTCAAAGGAGCACTGAAGGTCAGCCCTCGAAAACAGCAGCTGATATTAGATTAACTTGCACAGAAAAATTCCCTCTGGCTCGTTCATCTGCTAAACGTTTCCTGGAATAGTCCCACAGTAAATATTTATCTTGTCCGAGTCCAATCCCAGGTACAGAGGGGGACACTGATGTACACTGTGTTGTCCCGAGAGACTTCTAACAAGATGTTGTTGTGTTTCTCGCAGATGACTTCTCCACAGTGGCAGAACTTGGAGCAGCGTGAAGCGTACCAGCGCTTAATAGAGACAATAGCGGTGCTGCACCGACTGGCCACACGGCTCTCCAGCAGATCAGAGATTGTGGGAGCAGTTCGACAGGTGCAGTTATACAAACACATGTAAACTGAGGAGATGCAGCACAGTTAACGACAGATAAAGAGAACGCTACATTGTGTAAATATACAGTACATCTTGTTGTTTAAAAGATACTGTCTTGTTCAGGATGTCCCGGGCCCACTGAGACGCCTGTTTGGCAACATTTTAAGAAATTATGGGGAAGATTTTTATCTTAACGCTGTGGCGGACCCCGTGCCGGCCAAAGCAAACATCAGTTAAAGATCAAATTTACTGTTTTTGCAGTACAAAGGTCTGAAGCTATTTAAAACCCCAGACCACTTAGATGCCGTTTTTTATCTGTCCTTTGCGCTGCTGTCATCAGTGGTGGAATACAACAAAGTACATTTACTCAAGTGCTGTACTTCATATATGAGGTACTTTTACTTTACACAAAATATTCATGCAATGAGATTTTATCAGTAATCATCAAGTTAAGTGGGTAAAGGAAAATAATAGAACTGCTAAAACAGTCTGGATTGTTTAGAAAATGACATGCTAAATGGCATTCATATACATTCACCAGCCACTTTATTAGGTACACCTTGCTAGTACCGGGTTGGACCCCTTTTGCCTTCAGAACTGCCTTAATTCTTCGTGGCATAGATTCAAAAAGGTGCTGGAAACATTCCTCAGAGATTTTGGTCCATATTGACATGATAGCATCACACAGTCGCTGCAGATTTGTCGGCTGTACATCCATGATGCACGACATCCCAAAGGTGCTCTATTGGATTGAGATCTGGTGACTGTGGAGGCCATTGGAGTACAGTGAACTCACTGTCATGTTCAAGAAACCAGTTTGAGATGATTTGAGCTTTGTGACATGGTGCATTATCCTGCTGGAAGTAGCCATCAGAAGATGGGTACACTGTGGTCATAAAGGGATGGACACGGTCAGCAACAATACTCAGGTAGGCTGTGGCATTTAAACAATGCTCAGTTGGTACTAAGGAGCCCAAAGTGTGCCAAGAAAATATCCCCCACACCATTACACCACCACCACCAGCCTGAACCGTTGATACAAGGCAGGATGGATCCATGCTTTCATGTTGTTTACACCAAATTCTGACCCTACCATCTGAATGTCACAGCAAAAATCCAGACTCATCAGACCAGGCAATGTTTTTCCAATTTTCTATTGTCTAATTTTGGTGAGCCCGTGCGAACTGTATCCTCAGTTTCCTGTTCTTAGCTGACAGGATCTCTGTGTGGTCTTTTGCTCTTTCTAAAATACTCAGACCAGCCCATCTGGCACCAACAACCATGCCACATTCAAAGTCACTTAAATCACCTTTATTCTTCTTAACTTCAGCCGGTCATCTTGACCATGTCTACATGCCTAGATGCATTCTGTTGCTGCAACATGATTGGCTGATTAGCTATTTGCATTAACAAGCAGATGAACTGGTGTATCTAATAAAGTGGCCGGTGAGTGTATATTCATATATTATATTAAGATAATAAACTGTTTCACAAGTTTGTGTTTGCAGCACATAACTTTGATGTGTGATCGTCCTCAGTGTCACAGTATCACATACTGTGTAAAGGGAAACTGCAAATATGTGAAGCAAGATTTAGTGTTATCATGAAGCCTTTTCCACCACGTATTTGTCTCAACATGTTCGGTGTTTATTTATTACCTCTTTAACATCTCACCTGTAAGATGTGAAACAAGAATCAAATAACTGCTTGTAATGTAAAAGTTGTTGCTTATACAGATGAACTACAGTAAATTATCCCCTAATTTTGCAGCTCGGAGGAGATTTTTAGCCTGTTTTAGCACATTGTTTTAGTTTTATGGCACATTTTACTGTGTGGTTCAGTCTCATTGCACTGTCATCAACCATGTTTCCAACAGCCATCAGAGGCTTTCAGCAAAAACCTCTGGTAAACCCTGTATGCTGCACGCCCAGCACCAAACAGCTTACAGACAGACTTCGCAACTCACTGCTGAAGAAAGTTGAATATTAAGAGACAGTTTTTTTTAAGGGAAATTTAACCATGAAACCATGAAACAAGAATATGTCAGTTAATATTTGACTTATATTCATCTGGTTAGTAAGATCATTTTTCTTTTTCATTGTGTAACAGGAGAAACGTATGAACAAGGCCACTGAGGTCATGATGCAATATGTGGAGAATCTGAAGAGGACGTACGAGAAGGACCACGCAGAACTGATGGAGTTCAAGAAGCTCGCCAACCAGAACTCAAACCGCTGTTATGGAGGCTCCGTGGACACTGGTGACCACATTCACATCAAACACAAGAAAACACAGAGACATTACAGGACATAGTTTTGAAAGGGTTTCATGCTTGTGGAAAAATATTTTTTAACTTTATTTATCCAGGCAAGGGTTTGATAAAGCATGCATGTTTTTTAGTGTCACTGCTTCATTGCTGCTCTGTAGGAATATTTTCACCAGGCAATGTTGTAACCTCTGTAACTGGTGTGTTACTGAGCAGCTTCACTGCAGTATTGAAACAATACCAGCATGAAACTACTGGTTTCTGTGCTTACATAGTGCTGTATTCTGTGTTTCTTCGTATGTCCTCACAAAGATGATGGAGTTCCACGACCGTCAAGATCCATGTCCCTCACCCTCGGAAAGGTAAGCACTTCAGTTTTTTTAAGAGATGTTTTTTGGTTTACCGTGTACACCAGTGCTAGCATGCTAACATTTGCCAATTAGCACAACAGGCTAAAAATGTCCCAAAATGTCCACATGCCGTCCTGTTTATAAAATTCTTTTGTGTTTCCTGTGCAATGTTTGAAACTGTCTTTCTGTGACATCATCATGTCTGTGTTGTTAAACATTTTAAAACATTACATCCTTGATACTCTCATTTTTTAAATTCTTACCACTGGCACATTTTCTGTCTTCTTTCACCTCTCTAGGCTCTGCCCAGACGTAGGGTGAGCGTTGCGGTGGTGCCCAAGTTTAACCTCCTGAACATCCCGGGTCAGAGCCCAGCTACAGCCGGCCCTGGCCCCAATGTGGGACCCACGGCTGGTGCTGCTCTTCCTGTCCTGGTAGGTCTTCCTGTCCTGTCCTGTTCTGTCCTGTCGGAAAATGATGGGAAATGACACATCAAGCATTAAATGCTGTGACACCCACTCTCCAGAATGACTGCTGAGTGAAAGATATGCGCAATGAGTTAGAAACATATGTAGGAGTCATCTTAGGACGCTTACTTACTAGTTCAATTTAAGGACACCGATTATTGTTGTAGTGTTTCTTTTTGTATTTCAAAAAGGATAAATTGTGTTTTAGAATGAAAAACTTGCTCATATTGCTGTAGTTCACTGATTATAGTAATAGATTTTGCTCGAAGTCATATCTATAATAATTGTCAGTGGTGGCAAGTGACTCAATACATTTACTCAAGAACTTTACTTAAGAAGTACAAATTTAAGTTGTTTTTTTTTTTTGCTTGAGTAATTATATTATATGACTTATATGACTTCATAGTTAGCCACTGCTTTTAGAGTCAAATATTGTACTTTTTATTCCACTGCTTTTATTTGACAGGTGAAGTTACTATTTAATTAACAGTTTAAGACTTTAAGCTTAAAAACCATATGATAAGGTTAAGAAATACAATAATCAAAAGCACTGTCTATTTGGGGTTTCTGTCATGTTTCAGATATTTTTGGAATTTTTGAACAAACTTCCTAACTTTGTATAATGTAGTTGAAACTAGCTCCACCCTGACCAGCTAGGAAAGTGAAATGCAGCTTTAACATTGACGCATCAATGCAATGACGGTACTGATCCATCGAGATGTTACAGATGCATCAAGATGTTACAGATGCATCGAGACAGCTTCAATAACATCTCGAGATAACGTGTCATATAATAATGTACCATAATGATGTACCAGTCATGGGGCTCATCTTTTTGCAGAATGATTACTTTTGTTACTTTAAGGGTAACTTTGGTATTTTTTTTCAACCTGGACCCTATTTTTGCATGTTTTTGTGACAAATGGAGACAGCGTGTTTGAAACTAGTCCAGTGTTTAGCAAGCTGGCAGTCACTAAAAGGCTGCAATGTGAACACTCGTTAATTTATGTCCACTAAAAGTGCTTGTTTTTGCCACTCAGATTATTATCCTAAGTGTCAACTAATACGAAGGGTCCCTACAGAGATAGAAGTTTTGCTAAAAGAGTAAGATCCTTTCTGTTTAATGAGAAAACGGCCCTGAAATCACCGTCGCCAAACCCACTAGACTTAAATTTGTTTGGTGATGCCGATCTCAGGGCTGTTTCTGGTTAAACAAAAAGGATTTTACTCTTTACTAAAAAGGTCTTTTTCTTTAGGATCCTTTCCATGATGTTTTCAGACCCTCACAATAATAGTCTGAGCCTGTCAGTGGCAAAAACAAGCACTTTTAGTGGACATAAATTGACAGAGCACAAATGTCCTGAGTGGTTACACAACAGTACTCTTGCTCGACTACTAGACCAGTTTCAAAAATTGTTTTCTCCATCAGTCACTTAGACACAAAAACATGGGAAATCTAGTGTCCAGGTTGAAAAGTACCAAAGTTAAGCTTTAAGTAAATTCAGCTCTAAATACGTCTGCACACTGGTATTGGTACTTTTACTTAAGTAAAGGATGTGAATATTTCTATCACACCTTTTGACTGTGTATCATTGTTAGAAGGCAAATATATTCCTCACCTATATTCAACTCTCTCCTCTCCAGTGTGAAGCGAATGATGTGAAAGCCAGCACTCCCACAGAGGCAGCTCAACCGGCAGCAGAATGGTATGTTTTATGTATTTGTGTTTTGCTTACACACACACACACACACACACACACACACACACACACATTTCACATACACACGTGACTGCATGTACAGTATGTACACATACCATTGCTTGATTCCCAAGGTCAGCACACAGACCTTGAAACAATGGGCCAAGACAAGCCTGAACTTGTAATCATTCTTATCAAAAACGTTTTGTGCTGCAGTGGGACCTTTGTCTTGTTTGTGTGACCTTCAGGATGTGTTTTACAGTGCAGAGAAAGCCCCGCTGGAGTGAAAATAACCCTGACAGCATAAAAAATAATCAGACCCTGCTGCAGTTGATGGATATGCTATCCTGGGTCATAATCTAAACATTTGTGCAAAGAGTCTGACAAAGTCCAGGCACCAGGCTCCAATCATATCCTGGTTATAAAGTGAGCCTGAGTAGAGCTCTCAAGTGTCTAGATGTTCTCCAAGGAGACAAGAATAGAAATAACAAATGTGCAAAGTGCCAGCTCCGTGTCTTTTTTTTTCTCTTAATACTCGCTGATTGTGTCTGTAATGCACACTGCTATCATTCAGCCACTGCTGCAGTTTGGAAGTTATAAACAAAGCCAAGGTGTTGTGATGGAACCTAAAAGCACACTCCTCTCAGTTTTATAATGTCTGCTGTGATGGTGTTGGTGTCCAAGGCTGACTGTTCTTTCCCATCTGAAACAATGCAGTGGAAAGAGTGTGTCGGAGCAGGAAAATGAGCCAGCCAAGCCCCCTGTAAACGTAGAGGAGATCAGAGCCGAGATCAGAGCTGAGCTCAAGGCAAAGATCGAAGAGGAGGCATACAACAAAGGGTGAGGCCTTCTGTCCTCATCCTTAACTGCACACAAACACACTGTTGTTGTTTATTATAAATCACCACATTTATGGGACTCAGTTATGTTGCTGTTGTGCAGGTGTATATAATATTAAGTAAACAGAGCCTGCCTGATTATAGGACATCAGTATATTACTGTATATCCTTTGGTGCTGCTGGTAAATGCGAACATTTCAAATGCAGCTACCAAGAGGGACTGAAGCAAAGTAAAGTGCTCCAGGAGGAGAAGCAGGAAGAGGAGAACGCTGCAGAGAAGCTGCTGGAATCGAAAAATAAGGATGAAGAGAGTGGAAAGAACAGAAACACAAGCAGGTAAACTGAATCTGCTGTTTTAGAAGATAAATTCAGCATGTTGTTCTCTGACAGTGTTAACATAAGCAGGCCAAATGTCCAGTCTTTAAGTTCCATTCACAATGCAAAACTCTAAAAGTGAACCCAAAGCTCATCTACACCATGAGTATACATGCCAATAAGACCTCTCATTACTGTGTGTGGCACATCTCAGACCTTCAGTTTGCTGAATTTAAGAAATATACACTAATTTTACACAATTTTCAAAGGAATACTTCACCCACAAAATGAGTGTTTGTGTATCAGTTACTCATCCTGTGTTACACTGAATTCCTGAGAAAACTTTGCTCTTCTCAGATGTCTCCACGGTGAACGAAGAATCCAAAAATGCAGAAAAGTCTAGATGAACTGAAGACTAAAAAGGGTCTATGTTTAACAACAGCAAAACTACATCAAAACATCTGTTTAAAAGCTCTCACACAGCTTGTGCAGTATAATCCAAGTCTCATTTATCCTGCTGTATGCTCAGTACTTCCCATACACACCATCCATCCATCCACCCATGCATTTCATCCGCTTTTCTGGGGCCGGGTAGCGCAGGCAGCAGGCCAAGCAAAGCACCCCAGATGTCCCTCTCCACAGAAACATTTTCCAGCTCATACCGCGAGATGTTCCCAGGCCAGATGAGATATGTAATCCATCCAGTGTGTTCTGGGTCTACCCCACAGTCTCCTACCAGTGAGACGTGCCCGGAACACCAAAAGAGAGGCGCCCAGGAGGCATCCTGATCAGATACCCAAACCACCTCAACTGACCCCTTTCGACGCGAAGGAGCAGCGGCTCTACTCCGAGCTCCCTCCGGATGTCGGAGCTCCTTACCCTATCTCTAAGGCTGAGCCCAGCCACCACATAAAGAGAACTAATTTAATGCTTACAACTGGATAAACGAGACTTGGATTATGTGGGAGTTGTGTGGGAGTTTGTATGATTGAGTTTGAGTTGTTAAACATGGACTCCCATTGCTTCAGTTCATTGTCATTTGCTGATTCTTCGTTCACCTTGAAGGCATGTGAGAAGAACAAGTTAAAGTCACGTCTTTAGGGTGACTAACTGATATACAAATAGTGGTTTTGGGGTTGAAGTATTCCCTTAAGATGTACTTTGTCATTTTGCAAATCTATGAGCCACATGCAGCCACAAGCCAGATGGTCATGATCACACATTTGTAAGGAAAAAAGGTAAGGGAAAAATAGTACGTTACAGTTAGTGAGAAAATGTTGTTCTTCAATTTCTGTTACTTTGAATCTTTTTCCTGTGCAGGAATGCCTTCCTTTGGCCTATTTCCAGATATTTCTTTATCTCTATTCCCCATTTTATTTTTTTTATTTTTTGTCAAGGTATTGAACATGTTAAAATAATACAATGACAAAATAAAACTTATAAGCAATAAAAACAAACGGGATCCTCATTGTTAGAAAAGTAATCAAAAAGTAATCACATGTAATAAGTTTCATTACTTATTTCATTTTTAAATAAAAATTAAAATGAAAAGTCTTTGAAGAAGATGCATATAAAGCTGTTAACAGCAATAAAAATATGAGATGTTTATTGTATGAGGTCATTGTCTTCACAGGAGGATGGAGGAGATCCTGGTTCTTCTTGGTCGCTATTCTCCCAAGATCCCCTTGAATCGGCGACTTCTCTGGATGGCCCTGACTCTGTTTGTGGTGATGTGTCTGGTTATCAGTATTTTCACATTCTTCAGTGACTACTACAACAGACGTGAGGACACGTAAGCAGAGACGGACTGTGTGCGAGGCGAGATGAAGATCTTTGGACTGAGTGTAGCAGAACAACCAAAGAACCCCGGTGCAGAGTCACAGAGTCGCCCTCTGTCTCTGTCAGTTTACCATATCACCACACTCGGACTCACTTGAATCCATGACCCTGACTTTCGAGGGCCAAAGACGTTTTGGGAGGCTGTATGGATGATGTTGCCTTTGTTGTGGTTAACAGCATTAAGTTATAATTTTGTTTGTATGGAAAAATTAACAGATTGTTTGCTACAGTGAGCAAAAAGATAATTTCTGTATAGGGACCAATTATATAGTGTGATGACACATATACGTATATTTAAATTAGATGCATACGTAACGACATGTTCTGGTTTGGGTACTTTCTGATGATGAGTATGGCATTTTCCATTAAATGCCGCAGTAGAAAAAGTGTATATTTATCTACACTCTGATGTTAAAGTATAAATCTCAGGTCCAATAGATAATAAAGACCTCGAGAGATTTTGAACTAATATTTAAAGATACAGAAAATAAAAGGTTTTGATGTTTTGTTTTATTTCTGTAATGTGTATTTAAATATTTTAAAATATAAGCACATTCCAAAGTAGTTCCTTAAGTGCAATATTTTGCAGTTGACGGTTCTTGTTTGTGCCATTTTGGATTGTGTCTTCAGAGCACTGAGAGATTTTCTTCTTGTATGAGAGCACTGATTAGATGGCATGAAGCGTATTTTTATCTTCTTTGCACATGTGTGCCTGCCGGTGTTGTTTGTTCTTTGTGGATTTGATGCTCTGCCACTTCACCTTTTGAATAAAGGTGCCTGAAAAGATACCGTATTCATTTCCATTGAGAAATATCAGGTGCTACCAGAGAAGATTGATGCTTTAATCCTTCTTCTAAAATGTTGACATCTTACTTTTTTTTTCTTTTCTTTTTTTTTTTGACCATTTGGGGGCAGCAGAAACAAGTTGTGAACACAACATAGACATATCATCACCTTTAAGCTGATATGGTGAACCAGTGTGAATCCAGTGTGTAGGATTTAGGGGGTTATATTGGCTGAAATGGAATATCGTCATAAGTATGTTTTATTTAGTGTATAATGAGAATTGTTGTGTTTATGTTACCTTAAAATGAGCTGTTTATATCTGCACAGGAAGTCGGTACTCATCTGTGGAAATCGCCATGTTGCTCGGCCATGTTCCTACAGTAGCCCAGAACGGACAAACCAGTCACTGGCTCCACAACGGTTTGTATGATATCCTACGAATTACCACCTCACAAATGATGTTATGTCTTTAATATAAAGTTACTGTTCTAATTTATGTAAAGTTACAGAGCTTAGGTTTAGGAAAAAAAACCTCAAAGTTCAGACAGTTTCCATCATCAGTCTCCTGGCGAAAGTCCTGTGTTTTGAGACCCATCCACCATCCCAGCCTTCCTCCTTACTGGACCATTCAGGACACAATTTTGTGAATCCTAGATAAGTGAAGGAATGACCCACCCTACTCTCCCTATGATTGGATGGTACTCGTTGCCTTTGTTGGCTGGATTGGTTAGGTTTAGGCAAAAGGATTGAGACTGGTAGGGTTAGGGTAAGAATGTCAGGGTAAGAACCAGAGTAAGGTGGGCTGTCCCTTCGGTATCCTAGGATTTACAAATTCATGTTCGGCACTGCTTCCTCCCTTACTCTCATCATCGCATTGGTCACATGATTGCAGCCTTCCAAAATACATAGATGATGCACAAATTACTGGTTCATGATTACGTAGGATATGAACAAATTTGGATGAATTACTTTTTGTAGAAAAAAACGTACAAACAGTGCACCAGAACAGCCTGCGTACTTTCATGATGTAAAGTCATTGCATAGGCCACTGCAAGCTCTCTCTGTCATCTCTGGATGACAGGGTTGTTACCAGAACTCATCCAGGAGCACACAGCTGCAATTTTAGTGGATCAAAACTCTCTATTTCCATTATCCAGTGTGCTCTTCTTTATTATACATATTCATATTGTTTTCCTTTGTTTTGGGTTAGACTGGCACTCTTTTAATTATGCCATCTTGTTGTTCCCTCTTCTGCAGTGGCACCTGATGGGAGAAATGGAAGCCCAACAAATGTGGAGTTGTAGAAAGCCAAAATATCTCAGTTATAGCCGCAGCCATCTTGCATTAGTGACATCATTTAGAGCCAGAGTCCACGCACTAGAAATCTCCATGGTATTGAGTTCCAAATAACTAGCTATAACCCAGCTTATCAGAAAGATGAACAAATGAACACACAAAAGCATGATGAGAACTACCTAAGATGACAGAAACCATCTTTGGGAAAAACTTATTTGACATGTACTTTGATCTTTTAGTTTGGCCCATGCCTCATCTGCTAACATGGAGGCGGCTGGGTTTATGACCTGTACTGCAGCCAGTCATCACAGAGTGATCAAGACTTTTATGGGGCGACAATGTTGTCGTCCATCTTTATATACAGTCTGTGGTTTAGATAGCTTACACAAACAAGGCATATCATGTAATTTGTGATATTTAGAAGTGCTGTATGGTGGATTTTGTTACCTTTTAACAGAGCCAGGCTAGCTATGTCCCCGTTTCAAGTTGTGATGCAAAGCTAAGCTAATCTGCTACTGGCTGTTGCAACATATTTATGCTACAGACATGAGAGTGGTATTGATCTTCTCATATAACCCTTGGCAGGAAAGCAAAATGTATTGTTAACTATGTTATCAAGGGACCTTTTTCACAGAAGACATCTTGACTTGTCACAGTAGGAAAAGCGCTGATGTAAATAATAAAATTAATGATGGCTGAATTCCATTTAGCTGCTTCAGTTTCAGGGTCCTGGTATTGCTCATTAAAATTGTCTGCGGTAAAAAAGGTCTGTGCTGATCAACTCTTCTTGCTCACCAACATGTCTGTTCTCACTTTACAGCACATCAAAATTCCATCATATTCTCTCTGGAGCAGCTTGATTAACTCAGGAAACCATTTACTGCAATGTAATCTAACTCTACAAGGTCTTAATCTGACCCCATCGACACACAGCCACCTTAAGAGAAGTTAAATATCCGTCCGTAGCTCCCAATGGTCATTTATTATGCCCTCACTGACACCTCACATCTGACAAAAACACCGCGGCGTGTTCGTCAGCACTGCGTAATTTCCTGCCATCAGGGCTTGTGTGGAGATGTTTTTGTGGAAGTGGGATGTTGTCGTGTGCCAGAGGCTCATCAGAGGGTACCAGAGATCATAAGCATGTTCATGACTGAGTAATTCCCCCTGGGAGGAAATCATTTGGACGGCATGCCCAGTGTCAGTTGTCTGTAACAGTGCTTAGACTGAAACCACAGGTATTACAATCTTTATTTCCACTTAAATCCAACAGATGTATTGCTCATCTTCCTCACTTAAAAAACACCTGTTTAAGTCCAGTTCAAATCCTCATTTAATGATTCCTGGAACATGAATTCATTGCCTTTTGCCTTCCTCAGAATTGCTGCAGCTTTTTTCTCCTGCTGACATATTAGTTTTATCTCTCTGTCTCCTGGGCCCTGCTCCGAGAACATATGATGGCTCTTGATCTGACCCTTGGGCCGTACTTCCCTCTTCCTTTTCCTTTTACTTTCTGGCAATGACAGAGTCCACACACCCCGGTGAGGAGAATCAACTCTATTTAACCCTCATTCGGCACACAGGCACATAAACTGTGCATCACTTGCCATCCCTCTTCATTCGTCCGTCTCAGCTCTGAGCAGTTATAAATATGATCTGGCTTTGCATCATATCAGCACTGTCAGTTACTCCAGTCATCTCTCATCAAAAGACTGACACAGACCACATCAGTGGTAAGTAATTCCACCATTTTTGATATTTATTTGTCTATTGAATTCTATCTTTTTTATAAAGTGTCTATGGATAAATGTAGGCCACTCATCTTCCCTAAAGTGTTTGATTTGCTGTTTTTCAGTTTTCCCAGCAGAGAACCAAAGTATTGCTGGAGTATTCCAGGTGAGCGGCTTAAATTACCTCAACCAGCCTCAGTACGTCTTCAATGCCTCTGATGCTCGCACGCTCTGCTTGTCCCTCAAAGTCAACATTGCCTCAAAAGCACAAGTGCAGGAAGCTCTTAGTAAAGGTTTAGAGACATGCAGGTAAGACCAGAGAAGAAAGGGATCACCTATATCTCAGTGGAGTTTAATGATGTTGATGATACTGATGTTGTGTCATACTTTGTTTTTACTCAGGTTTGGTTGGATTGATGAACATCTTGCAGTCATTCCCCGCATAAAGGCCGTTTCTACCTGTGGCAAAAACCAGATAGGCTTGGTGACATGGCGAGCCTCGGTTACAAAAAAGTTTGATGTGTTTTGCTTCAATGAATCAGGTATGACATGTTTATATGCATTTATTGTCTAGAGCTTTACACTACACATTAAAGGGGTAGTTCTGATTTTTTGAAGTGGGGTTGTTTGGAGTGCTTATCCATAGTTAGTGTATTACATACAGCAGATGTTAGTTGGCACGCCCCCCGTTTGAAGAAGCAGACTGGAGTGCGACATTGAAGCTCAGCAACATACTGCTGTGGATGGGGGGCCAGCAACAAAATGTCTTTAACCCACCTAAAAAAAATCAGTATCAGTGTAAATGTACACTATATTGAGAGTATTTTCACCACTTTACGTTGTCAGTCAGCTTGTTCTGATGAAGAAGCCGTCCTGGCCTCAGCTCCTCATATATGTTCCCGTCAAAGCTGCCAGACTCCATTGACAAAAACAGTCATTTTAGCTCGCTGAATACAGGAGCTTCTGGTCAACTGCTGCTTCGATCAGTTAGTGTGTTTGTGTCATTGCGTGAATTCGGTGAATCCGAACTAGCCCTTTTAAATGCCAAAGTCCCACAATATTACATACTAACTAAATGATCAAGGCAGCGGTAGATTACTGTCTGACATCATGATGAAGCAGTGAACATATTCTCAATATAGCGTACACTTAAACTGATAGTGATTTTTCTGGATTCGACTTTTAGATGGCTAAAATGCATTTTGTTGTGGACCCCTCCAGTAGATTGCTTAGCTTCCATGTTGGATTCCAGCCTGCTTCTCCCAACTGGGGGCACACTGCCTGACATTAACTGTATGTAATATACTGTTTATGGATAAGTACCCCATACAACCCCGCTTCAAAAAAAATCTGAACTATCCCTTTAAAAGACAACAGTTAAGTGAAGATATCATGCATGCTTTTCTTAATACAGCCCTACTTTGTTGTTGTTCTTTAAGGTTTTAACTCAGATTAATGTGAGTGAATAGTCCTGTCAAAGGCTGTGCTAACAATTTATAGCACTTACATTTGGACTGAATTTGTGTCAGGAAAACTTTTCTCCAAATATGTATGAGAAATTAGTGTTTGACTTAAATTGTGTAGAACATAAAGGTGGGTTTAAACCTCCCCAATCATGTTTATTTTACAAGATTTGAATAAATATCTAACCTAAATTTGTACCATTACTGCTAGAAACCCACCCAGAAATGCCTTTTAAATATTTTCCAGCACAAAGTCAAGTCAGCTGTACAAGGAAATCGCTATCAGTAGTTACAAATGGGCGGCAGACACATTTTTTAAAAAAACATACATTCATCAAACGCCTTGCACTTTATATAACACTTATCTACTTCCCTGTGGCCTCCGTGTACATGCACAGATGCAGCGGCACAACTGAAGGATGCAACGACTGATAACCCTTTGAACGGCAGGGATTACTCAGGACAAACTCATTCTTCTAAAGCAGCAAGCTCCACCCGCACCACGCACTCT